CTGATAAGTTCAACTTAGAACTTGACTGACAGTCCATCTGGCAGCTCTCGCCAGCAAGTTATAAATCGCATAGCGATACAACGCTTGTATTATGCTCTACCTAGGAATTCATTTGCCGTCATCTCTCGCTCTACAACGTGTCTTTAGTCAATACCTTTTTTATCTCATCTGCCTGTTCTCTCTATGCACTCATCCATGCAGATACCAAGAGCTAGCAGGGTTTCGTGGTGTGTATAACGAGTTATGTTGGATCCTTACCCGATAAAGCAATCCTCACAAGCAACCATCACAGAATTTTGGTGGCTAAGCCCCTTATTAAAGTACTGCTCTTTCCACGAATAATACCAGTGGTAGTTTCACGCACTGGGTCCATCTAAATTCAATTCGTTTTTGTCGCTAAGTAGATATGAGCTTCAGTCCACGATAATTCTCTCTGTTGGTGAAATTGTTGGAGCTATGCACCTTTTCGTTTCTTTGTATTTCATCCAAGCGACTGTTTCATGGGTGTGTTCGTCGTACCGTTCTCTGCGAAACGTTCACCTATGAAGCACCGTTTTCGTCTCTCCGACTAAATGACTCAGGGAGTTTGAGGCCACACGTATCAATCTAGTCTCATCTCTTTCGAAACCTTTTCTGGTGTCCAAACAATTTTGACGGGGTTTTAATTATTCCCTCTTCGAATACCGTGCCACAGTGTGACCGAGACCCAATACACGCTTACGCTATCTTGTGCAGACACTGATCTCTCCAACGGCATCAATCCTGGATTTTTCGTTATCAATCATTTAGTCAAAATGTAATAGTTCATTTAAAATGAAAATGTTACCTAGTCTATGAATATTTATGTCAAGCTGATTCTTCTGTCATATGATGAAGTCATCGTGTGCGTCGAAATGAGAGATCAGTAATATATGAATATACAAAAGTAAAGTTTAGATCAATAATCCAGCGATCTCAGTGTCAGCAAAGAATTGTGGATGTGTTCAAATTGCATTTTTATTATTTTGTGTTGAGTTTATTTTTTATGAGCCCAACAGAGCGGATGAGGACACTCGTTTAACAGACTTTTTGATGGCTAAACTGATTGATGGAAAAATATCGATTAGCATGACGGAAAGTTACAGCGGGGTTTTTAACAGTTTGTGAACATCAGTCGTCACGGGGGTCCTGATTTTTTTCACGTCAAACGGAGTAACCAAAAATGGTTGAGGATTGTAATCAGATGGCTGCCTATGGATAACGTATTTACTCGTGGACTTGAGCCTGATTGAATTTTCATTTGGCAACACAAAAACACGCTGGCTTCTGGTCTAACCCGATCAACACCTTCTTGTTTTGATATGAGTCATTACATTTTAGTTCATTAAAAGGACATTATTTGGTAGAGCAAAATGATTATCTTAAAAACTAAGTTTTCTTCAAGTGCCACTCGAATTCCATTCATTCCTTTTTCTCATCTCTCTCCCTTTACACATGAACAGACCGCGCACAATCGATTCAGTCGTGACAGCAACTAGTAGACCGCTGAAAAGTGCACAATGGGAAAAGCTGCCACAAACTATGCGTGTCCAGCTGACCGCAATGCGTGAGCAAATGTCCATGGAGCTGCAAGATCGTCTGATGTACATGCGCGAGTGAGTCCGCCGTTGGGATTGCACTCACTCAACCCCAAACTGTTCCATGTGTCTACAAAAAAACCCACGCGTATTTAATAGTGCAATGCACTAGCCGTGGACCGCACTAGCAGTGAACAAAAGCTTGCCATCGAATGATTTCTGTGTGCACTAGGAAATTTTGGTTAGATGGAGAGATTTGTGATGGGACTCGAATACAACAGTGCCGGGTTCCCGTGAACGATCGAATGATTTATTCCAAATTAACTACTCGATGAATCGATGGATTCGCACCTCTGATGAGACCCAACCAGGTCAAAACAGCTGTTCAGTGTTTCCTAACTTTTTAGCTCACGCCTCATTTACACGAAGAATTCATCATCTTAGTACTCTTAAATGTGTGATATATTTACAGTACATTAAATGTAATAATGCCGCCGAATCACACATGTGCTCACTGAGGGCGCGTAGCAATAATCCCGAAAATGGTAGGATATTTCCACAGAAACCAGTGATTCAGTCATTCAGATACTGCCTAATTTAGAAAATCATTGGATAGATACATAGATAGATAGACAGATAGACACGGATAGATAGATAGATAGATAGACAGATAGATAGATAGATAGATAGATAG